ACCCAAATTAACACCATAGATCCCCCATGAATCCCTCTTGCCATTCCCGTTATTGGTTTCCCTAAAATGTTGCCGGAGCTTGTCGAATCTCCAATTGAAGTTTCCGGTCAGATTGCAGGTTTATCCAAACCAACCCAAAATCACACCACACAATCCCCGGACTTCCCTCAACCCAAATCCATGATTATTTTCCTTCAAATCTCTGTGAAGTGGCTCGAATTGCAGATCTGAGAATTTCTGGCCAAAACCCTAAACCAAAATCTTTATGATTTTGAATCGTAATATCCTTAACCATGTGTTCTCTTATAAAAACACATGGTTAGGGATGTTGCGTGTCAAAAATCTGAAAGGATTCGAACGTCAGTGACTAGCCGGGGTTTCTCGTGCTTCAGTGAGTTTTCTTGTTTCTTTTTACTTGCATGGTTGAAGTTTTAGTTACAGTCTTGATTTCATTAAGTGTGCTGTTAATCTTACGAGTTATGTTTGTGTATTAGTATAGTTCTGTCAATTTCTTTTAAGTTCTAAATTTGATGTTTGAATGGTCGATTATGAGCTTATTGGTTAAGAGTTAGTTTAATTTCATTTAATGTTGATCAGTAGCTTAAGCTTTGCTTTGATTGATCCTGGTCTCTGGTTTTCCTAGTTTGATTGAGTTGGTATGATTGAACAGTTGGGATTGGTTAGTTCGATTAGTTAATTTCTGAGTTCTAATTAATCAGTCCTAGTTAGTTTTGGATTAATTTAGGGGATTGGTTATAGCTGTTGAGAATGTGGGTAGAATCAGTAACTTTGAGAAGCTTTCAGGGGTAGTTTGGGCATGGAAAAGGGTAATTCTGATAGGAATAGTAATTTNTGAGAATGTGGGTAGAATCAGTAACTTTGAGAAGCTTTCAGGGGTAGTTTGGGCATGGAAAAGGGTAATTCTGTTAGGAATAGTAATTTTAAAGTATTGAAAGGGCAGTATAGGTATTGCATGGGTAGAAGAATACCATAGGGCCTTCTAGAATAGGATTTTAGTGCACATTTCAGCACAATAGAGGTGCTTACTTGAGTAACATGTTAGAAATAAGAGGACTAAACTAAAAATAGGGGAGGGACTAAAAAGAAAACCCAAAATCTGATTAACCCTCTTGTATCACCTATTAAAGGGCACGAAGTTCCTTGAGGAAGGGATTGAATTTTCAGCCCAAAAATCCCCACCAAAAGCTTTCCTCCTTGCTTTCAATTTCAGCTAGCACTTCAATTCCAATACTTAAGAAGAAACATCAAAAGATGGAAAAATCAAAAACAGTTTAACTAGGTCATCACTAGTGTCAGTGATTCTCAGTCTTTCTTTGGGCATTCTTCATTCCAACTCGAGGTTCTATTCCTAAAAAGTGTTTGGGAGTGACTAACAACTGATTCAAGTGAGTTTGGGGCCTATTAGTTTGGACTTCAGTGGAGATTTGGGTCCAGGAGGATTTGAGAGCATCTAGGCTTAGCTGTGAGGGCTAGGAGTGCATTCCAAGTGTGTGTTGGACTGATCCGTTGAGTCTGCTTATATTAACCCTGTGAGGGCTAGGAGTGCATTCATGTTCTGTGATGATATATTGTTGAGTTTGTTGCTGTTGTTGTTGCTGTTCAAAGTAGCTGACTTCTTTCCTTCTCATATTTTCCCTTATCCAGGTACACAATTGTACCCCTGATGACTGTGAGCTCAAGTGGGCAGCAATGAATTGTGTGAAGAATGAATTTACTTGCAGAATTGAGTTCTGATTTAGCTAATTTCCAGATCTACGTATTCAGTGCTTAATTCATGGATATTGTTTAAGTTTTCTTGTTTTTGTGCTAAAGGGACTATATAAACTGTTATATTTCGGAGTCATGTGATTACTATGAAGTGAACACTAGTGTTAGTTGATTACATAATAGGTTGATAGTAATGTTGGCGTGAATTAATTCAGAAGTAGTTAGTCTGCTTTATGCTATTGAGATCGTGTTTGCAGCTTGGTTTTCACCTTGATGATGTCTAAGAACTCACCGGAATATCAGTGGACAAATTAGTCTGTGCATAAAACTGGAATTCAATTGACTAGTATCCTTCTAATTCGAGTAGATGCATATTGTTTCCCCTTTGCTAATTATTGAACACTTAAAATAATTTAGAGGTAATTTAAGGGGGCATTTGGTTAAGCTAAAAATCAAGGCCTCGCTGGGCTCAGCGATAAGCCATCGCAGGCTGTCACACGGACGACCTTCATGAGTTTGGGCTTCCTAAGGGGTTCGATCCCAGGTGCTGTTATCTGTCACCTGGGCTTCCCTTTCTCCTGCCTGGCCGAATTTTGGGCCGTTTCTGAAGCCCATCAGTGGTCCAGCTCATTGTTGAGGTTGGACTACTGCATTTTATTCAGTTTACATGTAATTAAGTTCTCTTTCTTCTTTTAGGGATATTTGATCACTAGAAAATTGTAGTCACTCTCAAATGGGCCTTTTAATAAGTGTTGAGACGTCTCGCCAAACAAAATCATGTATGCGGGGCCGTCAACGAATGCTTATTAAAATAATTAAATTTGGGAAGGTTGTTTAGAAAATTCCACAGCCTTCCCCAAAATAATAATACGTTAGAATCTTTAGGCACGATTCAATTAAACTACCTTCTTAAACTNTCAATTGATAATATAGGTAATCAATTTGAAAACTGCCTACTTTATCAAAAAAAAAACTTTTTATTGCTTATAATACTTGATGTAATACTTGAAATTTCAAAGAGAAACAAAAAAGAATCTCAATTTACTTTATTTTTAATTTGGTTCTTGATTCTTTTTTTTAATTTATTTTATAAAGGCAGTAAAAACTTTATTATTAAACTGGCTCTTGATTATCGACCAAAAACTCATCGAAAATGATGGGTTGATTTTTTATTTTATTTTTGGTTAGTATTAAAAATCAATCTATGTGGTCAATTTATTGACTGAAAAAAATATAAGATTTAAAATAATTGATCGAATTCGGTCGGACTTTTTAAACTCCTCAATTATAAAATGCATCTTTCGGGAATAGCTAAATACGAAATAATTATAATTTTAAATTTTATACTGAGGTTAGTATCTTAATCCCGGTAACCAAACGTCCTTAGCTCCCGTTTTGGCCATAAAATTTGGAAGCATTTTTTCGAATATGTTTTTAAATAGTATCTGATTTTTTTTCATAGATTTTAACTATTTTTTGCCAAATTTTGAAAATAAAGTCTTCAAATCCCAAAAAAATAACTCTCTGAGTAGTTTTGAAGTTATCGAAATTTTTTACTCATAAAACTTTAAATTCTTTTCAAGTAAAATGCATGTCCAAACACATTTTTCAAAATAATTTTTCATCTTATCTTTAAAAACTCTTTTTTTTTTTTAACTAATTCTATATCCAAAGTCCAAACGCTAGCATAATTGGCTTGTGAGGGACACTGTTGGAATTTCATGGATAATTTTGGTATTACTCATCTATAAATAAGTGATACCCCCATTGGAACTTTAATTTGCCTAGCGAAAAAAATACTATATTCGTATAATACAGGAAGATCCAAGAAATGGAAGTTGCCAAAGTTCTTCATATGAATGAAGGAATTGGAGAGGCTAGCTATGCCAAAAATTCTTTGCTTCAGGTATAATATAATCACACAATTTTTTATTTCCGCATAGAGAAGCGTTAGCTTAACTGGTAAAGTTGCTGCTATATAATCAGGAGGTCACGGGTTCGAGCTGTATAAACAGTCTCTTGCAGAAATGCAGGGTAAGGCTGCGTACATTAGATCCTTGTGGTCCGGCCATTCCATGGAACCCGCGCATAGCGGGAGCTTAGTGCACTGGGTTGCCCTTTTATAGAGGTTATAAAGTCGCAATTATAATTACTTTACTTCATTTCAAAGCCACACAAATACTAATACTGGTTTAAACGACAAGTTTCAAAAGTTTTATAGCGTCATAAATATTATGATATATTTATGATCACAAGTTCAAAAGTGTTACTCTCTCTATTAAATTTCATGCCAAGTCTAACTACGACAAACAAATTGTAACCTTCTGATTTACATTGCATTTTTATACAGCAAAAGGTGATCCTAATGACAAAGTCAATAAGAGATGAAGCCATAGCTGCACTCTACCGCAGCCTTTCCCCAGAAACAATTTGTATTGCGGACTTAGGTTGCTCCTCTGGACCAAACACTTTTCTCGTAATTTCCGGACTCATTAAAACTATTTATGAAGAATGCAAAAGCAATGGCCAAAAACAGTCGCCGGAATTTCATGTTTTCTTGAATGATCTTCCCGGAAATGATTTCAATACCATTTTCCGGTCGTTGCCGGCGTTCTACGAAGATTTGAGGAAACAGATGGGAGATGGATTTGATCCTAATTGCTTTGTTACCGGAGTTGCTGGTTCATTTTATACTAGACTTTTTCCTTCTCAGAGTCTGCACTTTGTCCACTCCTCTTACAGTCTCCACTGGATTTCTCAAGTACGTTTCATATATAATATAACATACTCCATTCGTTTCATATTAGTTGAGGTAGTTTGACTCGACACAAAATTTAAGAAAAAAAAAAGAAGACTTTTGAAACTTGTCTTAAAAGCTTACGGGGTAAAAAGTTTGTGGGGTCATGACATTTGTGTAGCTATAAAAGCTTCTCATTAAGGGTAAATGAGTAAAATGAAAGAGTTTAAAGTTGAATTATTTCCAAATTTAGAAATGTGTCATTTATTTTGGAACAGACTAAAAAGTAAAGTACCTCATTTAATATAGTAATATAATATAATATTCGTATTTGAAGCATATGATTGCACTCTTTGACTTGGGAAACAAA